TCTGCAGGTATTCCTTTTGGTACAGCCTGTTGCAGTTCTCCTTTACAGTTTATGCTGTATTTTCATTCCATACTGTACTTTGGTTAACAAAATACATCACCCTCTTACCCCATAAACTGTTGGAGGGTTTTTAAGGAGTAGTTTATGACTTGGTAACCAATCATTTTTTTTTTTTTTAAAGAAGAAACCATCATGACACTAAAAATTCCTGAAATCTGAGAACTGTGCTCTGTTTCTAAAAAGTCCTTTTATATTTGTCAAATAAATCACAATATTTATAGATCTTTGTTTCAGTATGCATACAAGATATTCATTAGGAATGAGAAAGAATACCTTATTTATTTGCTTTCCACACACATCTAATGAAGAGATGACTTTTTTCCTTTTCCTTTCAAATTTATCAGTAACAGTGACTAAATGAAGGTTGAATAAATGACCCCATCTGTACAAATTTCTGGTAGTCTTGATGTCACAAGACTGCAGCTCTGACTCCATCTATCACAGCTATATTCCAGGCAATAATACGGCTTGGGTCAGCCCTGCTAGCACCCAACCACCAGATACACAAATAAGGAATCCTATACAACACCTCTCAACCACATACTGTGGCCTATACTTAGTAACCCCCATCTGCAAGGAAGGTTATGAAATGAAATTTTTCGCTAGGCATGAAATCAGATTTCTATTACTAAGAGAGAAGGGAAGAAAGGAAATAGGATAGGCAACTAGCATTATCTGCCTCATTTTCTTTTTTAGCATATGTTTCCTCAGATGAACTATGAGGTCATAGAAGGCTGAAATTATGTCATATTAATTTTTGTAATCTCAGAACCTAGCACAATACCATAGTTTATTGTTTTTTTAAATGTTTATTAGTTAAAGACTAGATCAAAGACAAGTATGACCGGTGAGTAAGTGGCATTAGTTCGTTCCATTTATATTGTCACTCATTCACTTAATTATTATTTCAACTAATATTAATTGAGCTCCCAGTCTGAGCCAGGTCCTCTATCAAGCAGTGATATTTACAGTGATAAACACAACATAGTCCCTGGCTTTACGAAGCAGGTGGAGGTAAAGCTAGAGGAGGATGGGGATGGCTCTAAAAGTAACAGGCAATTTCCAGGTTACGGGGTAAGAGAATGAGAAGTGGTCCTGAGACACTGTTTGAGAGGTAATGAAGCTGTAAGTAGTCTGGGTGAGCACAGAGTGGTGAAAGAAGTAGAGAAAAAGAAGGAAAGATAGAGGGCTAGGTAATAAAGTCACTTATGTTATAGTCATAAGTCCATAATTTATCTCTGCCAATACACATACCTATTTCTTGTGAGAAAATGTTTGTTTCTCCCTTAGACTTCCTCATGAAAGAATTTCCCAACACTTTGCTCTTGATGGATCTGACCCACTGATAAACTTCTTGGCTGGCCTGAACTGTAGTCACAACTGTGTTCCATGGACCTTCTCCAAGCATGAAGAAACCGTCTTCCCAGCATCCCATCTTACAGGATGATGTTCCCTGGTGGACCAGTTTGGGAAATTTTGGTCTAGACACGTATTTCTCAAACTTGGCAATATGACTCCACTGGACACCATAAAAAAGAGTTGCTGGGGATTTCCAGAAAAAGAGGCTGATCCCCAGAAACTGCACATGTGAACCTGGTCTTCTTAGTGTGTTAACACCTTGGATTTCAGTTCTATGAGTCACCAGATGGGTATAGGTTTAGTGGAACTAACAGCACACCACTTCAGCAATCCTGCAGTCAAATAAGTTGTCCCTATGATGATTTGACTAGTAATTCAAACACTGTCATCTCTTCCCAGAAGTAATCCAATTCAGTTCAGTTTGTGACATATACATATACAGCTAGAAATGCACCTACATCAATTTCGATTTTCTTTGCCTACGTTAGAGAAAAAGATAGGCCCTAACCATGAAGCAGAGATCACAAGAAGAGAGATCTGAAGATGATATGCTATTGGCCTTAAAGATGCAGGAAGAGGCCACAAGCCAAGGAAAGCATGTAGCATAGAAGATAGAAAAAGCAGAGATGGATTCTCCCCCAGAGGCTCCAGATGGGACACAGCCCACACCTTGATTTTAGAATTTCTGACTTCCAGAACTGTAAAATCACACATTCTTGGTTCTAGCTACCAAGGCTGTGGTAACTATTCACAGTTAGCAATGGGAAAGTAATACCGAAAGTAATACCGATAGTAATATACCTCCAGATGCTATCCCTCTACCCCCTCATTCCCACAGCACTCTACATTAAGACCCTCTCTTGGGATTCTCTTCTCTTCTCTTCTCAATCTATCCTCTCAAACTGTTTTCCTGAAAATCAAATCTGATTATGTCACAGGGCTTGAAATACATGAATACTCACTAATTCTAGTTAGGTTACTTCTGAGAATATAATTAGAAACCAGAAATAAGGGTTGTTTATAAATCCTGTCAAGGACATTTGGTGTGATCTCAGGAAGGCTTAACAGAGATGTGATTACAGCTAAGAAAGCTGAAAACAAATTGCACTATACACTGGAGAAAGAATGCATTAACCATGGGGGGTTGAGGCAGAGAAGAGATTTTTCTGGGTTTATTCGGGACTGGACAGAGGTAAATTCACTGACTTTGGCAGCCATCAGGAGACACATTCTGGATTGGAGGTGGGGATACCTTACCAGGTACCTGGATCCTAGTAAGTGCTTATCCTAAACAGAGGTCACGGGTATACTATCATAGTAAATTTCATCCTGATTTAAATTCTAGTCATGAAAACTGGTTGCCATAAGTCAGTCCACTGTTCACCTCTGGACACACTATAAAACTGAGGTCAAGACCCTCCCTACTGGTGACCAACCGAAACTACTAGATCGAGGTTCTTCTACTTCCCACTGTCTCCTCAGAAAGTTAAAAGATATGTTCTTCCGTAAGATCCTGAATCCTAGTTTAACAATAGCCACACTCCTGCCATCCATCACTCAAGACCTGTTTGAGGGTCCCTATTTCAAGACCTCCACAAAAGAGGGATGACTATCAACAACAACAGCAACAACGAAAAAAGGGAGGAAAGTTCTAAGAAGGAAGGGGAGGTCAAAATTGGCAAATGCCACAACAGGCATGACAAAATGGGGATTAAATTTTTCCATTAGATTTGGCAATTAGGTGGGTGACTGATGTTGTTCAGTGGAGTGAAAGGTTGACAAGGGAATGAGCGCTTAGGCAATGTTAACATTAAGGCTGGAAAAGTCCTCTGAGAAGAGGATCCATGCCCTACAGAATCACCTTAAATAAAATTCCCCTCAGGTTTTGCATTTGAATCATAGAGAACTCTTCTTGTCCCCAAATCCTCCAAACCTTAATCAGCCACATTTGAGTCCTACTATCCCACTCTCTCTCCTTAGTTCACCTCGAACTTAAAGGAACTAATGAGCTGTGCAATAACTAAAGGTCAAAAAACAAGAGGAAGAAACAAAAGGCTCACAAACACAAACTCAAATCAAAACAAATCAGGCCCTCAGTAAGCTGAGCTGTAACAAGTTGTGCTTCAAATTTACTATCCCTGTTTTGATTAAAAAAAAAAAAACAAACAAAACAGTGTCTGGAGAATTAAAAGGGGTATTTTATAAGTGGGTTTTTTGGTGTGTGTTTTTTTGTTTTTGCTTTTTTTTTTTTGGTATCTCATCCATTATCTTCACTCCATCTCCCCCCAAATTAATAGCTGTTGCTGTGTGTGAGCACAAGCCTGGACCAAAAACCCAATTTTGTCCAGTGGGTAGAGTAATTGCGTTCCATTAAAAAAAAAAAAAAAAAAAAAAAAAGAAAGAAAGAAAAAAAAGATGGAATAGGGAGAACAACATACATATCTGCATTTTCGGATGAAAGCACTGGTTTTCTTTCTCGACTGCTCGCTGTATTTAATGGGGGGAGGGGAGGACAATTTTCTGAATCTGAGCCCATTTCTTTCTAAACTTGGTTACTCACGTCTGATTCATTCGCTGTGTGTTTCCTCTCCTGTCTCTGTCACTGCCTGCTGCTGAGAAGGGGGTCGCTGAATCACTGCCACTCCAGATGAAAAGCAATTCAAACCCAGTTCTTGGGGGGATGGAAGGGCTTTTTTTTTTCTTTCCTTCTTTTCCTTTCTTAAGCGTCTGCAGAAAAAAAGCCTCCTACTTTCCGGGATGACTGTAGAGGGCAGTTTTACAAGTCTCACCCCGGGCTATGGAAGACTGGGCTCCGGTGAGAGTCGGGAGGCACCGGTCACCTCACCATTTCGGGCTTTCCGGTCCACAGGCCTCGGCGGTCTGGGGCGTGTGCTGGAACGCGCGGCGGCGGGGCAGTGCTAGGGGCTCCGGGGGGAGCTCGGCCCCGTCGGCCCGAGCGGCCTGGCCCGTTCCCCGCCGCTTTAAAAGCTCCCACAATGCAGCGCTGGCGTCCCAGTTCCGTTACAATGTCTCTCAGGGCGCCGGCGAACCGGCGAGGCGCGGGCGGGGAAGCCGGGGAGCCGCGGATGTAACCCGAGCGCCTGGCCGAGGGGGGCGCCCCCGCGCCGCTCCTCTCGCGCGCTCTGCCCGCGGCCCGGCGAAGGGGCGGAGCCGCCCGGCCGCCTGAGCCCGGCCCGGCCCCCAGTCCGGCCCCTAGCCCAGAGGCACCGGCCGCGGGAGCGAGCCGGACGCCAACTCCGACGTCCCGCGCAGCGCCGGTCGCCGCGCTCCTCGCTGAGCCTCGCTGGACCGCCCGCGGCAGCGGCGGCGGCGCTGGGGGCGGCTCCTGCGGGCGGCGCGGCCCCTGCCCGCGCGCTAGCACCCCGCGGCAGCCCCACCGGGGGCGGCCACACTCACCTAGCGCCGGCCGGGAGGTGCGCGGAGAGGGCGCGCCGGGAGCCAGGGCCTCCCGCCAGTGCGGGGCGCGGGGCCCGCCGAGTGCGGCGGAGGCAGGCGCGCCGCGCGGTGCGGCCAGGACAGGCGCTGGGCGGCCGCCGAGCTCCGGACGCCGGCACGTCCCCAGCGCCCCGGCCGGCCCCGCCGGGCGGCCTGCGGGGGCGGCGCAGTTGCGAAACTGAGTAAGTATTAACTTTACTCGGCCGCCGCGATTTCTGGGCAGCGCCTGCCACCCCTCCCTCCTCCTCCTGGAGCCTTCGGGCTCCCCCTTCCCCGCCCCCTCGCCCCTCTGTCTACACCTTGGGTTTCTTCGCCGGTTCTGCCCTCTGGCCGCGGGCTCCCTGTTCCTCCGGTTCACCTTTCTCCCTGTTGTGTTCGCCTTTGCGCGTTCTCCCCGCCGCACACACGCGCCTCTGATTGAGAAGTGCAGGCTTGTGCCCTGCTTCTCGGTTTCCTCCCAGTGTCCTTGGCAGGGGAGTTTAGAGGCCACTTTTGTTGGCCAGGGAAACGCATGTATGGCTTCTTTAGCATTTTTCTCTCCAAATGGAAATCGGATGCTCGCTGCCCGGATGGCCGTTTGGTGAACGCTTACTTTCTCCTCTGAAAACACGGTTGGTTTTTAGGTTTTAAAATTGTGTGAACGCTTAACTATCATCCTTGGTCCCTGTTTCCCCTTGCCGCCAACCCGTCTGGGGAGGGGAGTCCAAAACAGGGGACTTTCAAAGTAATTCCGTTTTGCAGACTAGAAACTTTGCGAGGGTACATCGCGGAAAGCCTAATAAGCTTCAACCTGAAGGGACGTGAGCTTTGAATGTGGGTCCTTGTGCGGCACTGGAGCCTACAAGCCGAGTACCTGGGTTCGTAATCGAGTGTTGCGTTGTTATTTTAGCATCGTAGAGCCGCCTGGTGTTGCTAAACCACTACTTTTTCAGCATCAGATGGCATCTTGAGCAGTGCAAGCGTTGAATGTAATTACGGGTCAGTATTGCCCCTGATCTTCAGGGATTTAGAAGGGAAATAGATGCAGGGCACATTTCCTAGCTGACTTAAACCCATCAGGCTAGCTGTGTCAGTACATCAAAGCCTTGCATTAAAAAAAAAAAAAAAAAAAAATCTTCCACCCTGGTAACAGCGAGGAGGAACATTTACGGATTTTCCAGTATGATGTGGCTCAGCAATTCTTCATTAGATCTGTTGTGTCGCCAGAAAGGACCTTTAAATATGTATAGAGCCCTGCTTTTTTGCCATTGGATTAACCCCTCATTCTGGTAGAAGGCCTCAGGTAGATCCCCCGCCCCCCCTCCTTTTTTTAAAAAAAGTCTTTCATCTTTGGGTTGCCAGGAGTTGGCCATCCTGTTCTGAAGGAATAGAAAATGGGGAGCTTTCTTAATGGATTTTCAGCAACCTGCCCTTTGCCTGGGTGAGGCAGTAGGGAATGCCTGCCAGACCTCTGCAGGGAGAGGTGCCAGGTGGGCACAAGAATCCGGAGGAAGGACACAGTAGTACTATCATTTTGGAGGGTGGTGTGTGTGCGTGTTTATCTTTCAATGGGCATACTAATGCTACTTTTTAAAATTTTATCTCCATGACAAACTCTCCCCAAACCATGAAAGCTCCCTATATCCCACTTTAAGAAGCCTGAATGTAATTTGATGATTATGTTGAAGGATCAGACCTACCAAAATATAATTTGTAATGTAGGTGATGAAACCTTTCAAAAATCTCCCCTTTCCTCATTTTCCTCCCTTTTAAGAGCCTCAAGCTGGTACTTTCAGTAATAGACACAGTTGTTAGTAATACATTGAGTTCTTTCTAGGTTCATTAATCAAGCCTAATTTCTGGGCTTCGGTAGCTGAGAGGGACATCAGCCCAGAGAGTGAGAAAATCATGAGACTCTGCAGATAGGAAAGGCATTTCAGTTTGCTAAAGTGTCATTGTGCTATAGGGAAAAGCTTTTAAAAAGAAAAGGATATTTAGGTTGTTTTTAGCATGCATGTTTGCTGAATTTGGCATTTGGTGGAGATATTTGGGAATTGCAGATATTAAATTCTACACAATGGTGGTATAATTTCCTTTTTGCCTAACATTTTGTTCTTTTAAAATTTTGATTTTTTAAAAAAGATTTTATTTATTTATTTAACAGAGAGAGAGAGACAGTGAGAGAGGGAACACAAGCAAGGGGAGAGAGAGAGGAAGAATTCTCGTAGGCTTCCCGCTGAGCAGAGAGCCTGATGCAGGACTCGATCCCAGGACCCTGGGATCATGACTTGAGCCGAAGGCAGAAGCTTAACGACTGAGCCACCCAGGCGCCCCAAGATTTTGATTTTTTAAGGGGAATCTCAGTTCTTAGCTTTTGTAGCCTTCCATACTGGCTTACATTAATTCTTGACTTGAACACCTTAGCTGTTTTTGAGAAGTAGTTGTTCAGAATTTATTGCTCAGTTGATCTATCTTATGTTGATATATGTATGTCTTGAGAGTAGAAATGTTGTTTGCTGCTGGGTATTGCTGCTTTTTTCATTATGGTTCATTCTGGACATGGTGGCTTTGCTCCTTTACTGTAAAACATTGAGGTCGTGGATATCTTGCTGGTGTTCAAAACATTGCAGAACTCTGCAGATAGAAGTGGATTGGGATTGGGAGTGGTATAGGAAAACATTATGCGTTATAAATCTGAGAATTTGGATTTAAAAAATAATGTATCACCTATTTACTCTTCTTGGGCGCTAGCTTGCTCCAACCCTAAGTAGATTTCAAAATGCAAAGTGCAGAAGTAGTTCCTAAGAACTGGGTATAGTGGAAAGAAAGCTTACCTCACAGCCAGCCAACCAGACTTGGGTGGCAAATGTGACTTTGTCACTTTGAACTGAATGAGTTCAACATGCTACTTCAACATCATGATCTACAGTTTGCTTTCTGTAAAATGGGGATACTGCTACTAAAAGGGATGCTGTGACAAGTAGAATATCTAATATAACATCTGGTACATCGTAGCCAATAAATGGCATTGTCTCACACTCCTTCAGAACTGAGCTCTTGATTACCCAACCTTTCAAACAGTTTCTCCTCTGTTTTCCATCTCATCCATCTAACAGGTGGCTCAGGCCAGAAGGCTGGAGTTTATCCTTCATTCTCTCTTCTGCCCTTTCACTGCTTCCCCCCAACCCACCAGTTTGTAAAAAAATCCTTATTTACTCTTATGGAAAAATCTCTTTCAAATCTGTCTGATTTTCAGTCTCCAATATGCTTCCATTCGGCTTGAAGCCATCATTATCTTTCTCCATTGCCTTCTGCACATATACTGTACCCCTTCCAGTTCCTTTTCCCACCAGCAACCTAAAAAGAAAACAAGTCACTTGATATTTAAAGTCTTCAAAGCTCTTAGGAAACACATTTATTTCTCCAGATAAAATATGAAATTTTCAACATACCTGTAAGGTCCTGCATGATTTGACCAGTGCCCCCTCCCATCTTCATCCTTTGTAAGCCACATTGTCCAGTCCTCCAGCAGGGCTCTTGCTCATGCTATTGGTTTCTATTTTAGGACCATCTCCTTGAGTAAATTTGTCATCCTTGGGTATAAATTCATGTATCATCTTTATAAATGTCTTATCACCCTTATCATCGTGTAACTTAGAATCCCTTTATCTTCTCCCTCATAGAGCAATCACCTTTCCTTTTTAATGTTTGCCATAACTTATAACTATGTATTATTCAACTACTTAATGTTTCTCTCTTGCCCTCTAGGGCAGAAATAATGCCTGGTTTATTTGCTAGTCTATACTCCGTGCCTAGTGCATTTAGTAGGTGCTCAATAAATGGCTATTAGTATAATGAATAAAATAATAACATTAGTTTTGTCATTATATCTTGATTGCCATCTTTATTGCTGTTCAGTCTGCTTTTCATAACAAAAGCCAGACTGACACTCTCCTATTTTTCCTCCTTGCTGGTGTTATGTATAATATGAAATAGCCTTTGCAGATACCAGGTAAAATTAATGCACCTGGGCTCTCTGGAACATTCAGATAATAAATTGAGACACCTTTTAACTAGTGTTACCCTTGTGATTTTCTTTTGTAGATAATCCTTTTTCTGAGTACATCATTAAAGTAATTATGGTTTTTTTTTTCATCAGCACAGGATTACTGAAAGAAAAAAATCTTACTATGTCATATTATTTTACATGTGTCATATGATAATACATTAGTCATCAGCTGTTGATCACTCAGTGCCACACTTCAAAGGGAGGTAGAGAAAACTAGTAGAGAAATGAGCATTATAGTTCTAAGGATGTTAAGTACTGTCCAGTTGTTGATGTGACTTGCATAAATAACTAGGTATCATTCGAACACTTAGTTAAGGTAGCAGAGTGGTTGTTTAAAAATTGGAGCCACCTAGAGGCCTGGAAATTCTTTTTCCTTCTTTAACTAAAGCATTCCTCCTTTTAGCCAAAAAAGTCTCATGACTTTCCAAGGCCAAGGAAGGCTTAAACCTTGTTTGAGTGTTTTGTCATGTGGTTAGTCTTTACAGATTATTAGTTTGATGCACTATAGCCCTGAACTATTTATGTTCTTCTTATTTCTAGTCTCTAATTCTTACATAATCATGCACGTTTTCTTTTGACTTGTTTCTTAGGGCTTGAGTTTCCTTTTCGAATTTTCCCTTTTACCCTTAGAGTATAATTCCAGTTCCTTTCTAGTTTTGTATTTTGTATGTAATAAGGTACACAGAGAATTTAGGAGTCAGTTCTAGTTCTTTCATGATTTATTTGTTTGCACTTAACCTCTGGGTTTCTCCTGAATGTTATGCCTCATAAGTGGTCTGGACTCTGAGTTTTTGTCAGCGAAAAGCTGGATGCCCTTGGGTTTGGAGAGCAGGGAAGATTAAAAAAGCATTTTTAAGTCCTTATTATGTGCCAAGCTCTGGGCTAAGTTCTTTCACAAGAGAAGAATGAGTAGTTCACCTGATGAAAATCATAAAAAGGAACCTTCAGCTTTTCATGTGTTTGCTTTACTCAAGGAAATGGTTCTTGTTGTTCCACTGTTTACCCACCCTTTATTTTCTAGTTGGGAAGGTATGGCAAGATAGAGAAGCCCTCCCTAGCCCATCCCATTACCTTAGCTTTTTATTTGTTTAGACCTGATTTTACTTGTATAAAAGTATTGGCAGTGGGGCCCAG